CATCACCGGCCATCCCTCATCATCAACGCATTCATGGTCAGATCAGCGGTCACAAAGGCCCTGTCCGCTGAGGCATGTGCTGTTAGATCGATCGTTACACCCTCCAAGACAGCGGCCTCGTTTGTCTTTGATGGCATGATCACCGCGTCCCCTGCAGGGGTTAGAGATCTGCTCCGACGACATGCTTGCAACCGTGCGGAACGGCATCGTCTCTTTCAGTATACACTAGCGAGGAATAGTTCACATCGATTCCGATGCCCGCAATGTGGCGATGATTTCTTCAGTGCTGCAGGCTTACGAGTGCACCAGACACGAGGTGCAGCTACTTGTGCAGCGTGCTAGCATTTGCCCTGAGCACAAATGATGCTGATCAGCTTCCGATTCCCACATCTGGTCCATCCAGTTCTCACCCACCTGACCTGCCCCTCTCTCATCCACCCAGCCCCGCTCGCTCCCCTTCCCCAAATGACAATGACCCGTCTCCTGATTACCTGATGAAGCCCCCGGTTGAAGATCATCTCTCCCGGAGCACATACCGGAGCCAATTGTTTAAGACCACAACGAGTCTCCGCCACCTGTGCAACGTGCAGAATCGAACGAGTCTCCCCGTGCCGTGAACAGATCCCTCACGCAACCTGCGGAATCAGACAATGTCATAGCGCTACAGCGAGGGCGCTGTGCGTCCTATAATGTATGTCTCCTTGCTTACAATTGTAATCCTTACTGTTTCTGATTTCGCAGACGTTGTTTGCTGGATAGAAGAAGAGCACCGTGCCGTCTGCCCAGAGGCCGACAGCGCTGCACCTGGTGTGAACATAGAAGTCCTGGCTATGGCATTTATGGGTAGGCGACCACAATTCCAACCTGCTCCGCAAAACCACGTGCCAGGCAGGGATCTGAATATTCGGGCATATATCTTATATCGTCCAGGTCATTTCAGTGCTCTTACCTTTGCAGATGATTCATGAACCCTATGGGACAATGGCGGTAGGGTCCACACAGTGGAAATATTAACTCTTTCTATCACCAAAAGCTGGAGGATCACTCAGTCTGGCTCGTCCATCAGGAACAGTATGTTGATGAGCACTTGCAAGCACTGCACCCCTCGAAGAGTAATCCAGCTGATTCTACCACAAACAGTGAAAGGACCTCTCCACAGGATGGTGGCTGTGCCCTCCTGTTGTGTCGTCACAAAGGTGCAGTTCGGTTGACATGTACACAGCATAGCCTCTGCTCCGAACACGATGAAGGGATGGTCGCTGCTATCCTCTCACACGAAAACTGTGATCCTCTGTTCTGTGCTCATCCCCCCTACCCCCTGATTACTTGCCCAGCATGCCGTTGTGGCCTTGATCTGCCATGCTTAAATAACTGTGCACGTCAGCCTTCCATACTAATGACATGTCAGCAACATGCTGTGCACATCAGCCTTCCATACTAATGATATGTCAGCAACATGCCATATGTTGTCAATGCTTCCAGGAAGCCGTCATAGAAAGTATGTGTCTTTAATGCATGGACTATCCCCGGTGCCATCACCCTCCACATCCTCTCCTAGCATGTCCCATGTGCAGTGTTGGTCATACACTTGTCACTGTAAAACTATAAGGAATCATGCCAATAAGATTACAAAATAACAAAAAAGTAACTATTGGACAAATTGCATCAGTTTTTTTTTTCTTATATTTTGCAATTACGCCCTTTCTTGGTAAACTAGAAGCAAAACTTATCAAATAAATAGGTTAGGACTTTCCCGCATATAGTGAAGTAATAAGGTCAGAGATTACTCGTCTGACACGGCAATGAGTTTACCACTTTCATCAGCGAACAACCAAACCCTTGGAACCTCGACCTTCCACCATTACTGATGGGGTAAGACTATGCCTTCACCATATTCACTACAGTCACCTGTAAGAACTTAAATAAGCTCCGCAACCTAGAGCAGCAAAAAAGAGATAAAATTTGCTGCAAAATCCTGCTAATGGAGGTATTCCTGCTAAAAACCTTTTACGCGATTATTGTCACTTCGCCATATTTGTGTTAACTCAGTCCAAACTAGTTTATTTTTGCATATCCTTTTTATTTGTTTAGGCAAAATCATTTTTGGTTCACCAAACACTTTATGAGATTGAATAAATATGAACTAAACTACTGACAAAAGTGACCACAATTAACATAACCACAGTCAGAGTATCAAACAGAAAACCCCAAGAAGCATGAAACATTTCTGACAAAATCCATGGTGCGAATTTGATATAACAAGCACTGGCTCCCAGTGCAACCTCATAAAAAGCTATGAGCGGCTCGCCAGCAGAGCAGAGTGGGCCTAAGCAGATTTGAACTACTGACTTTACACTTATCAGGCGTATACTCTAACCAACTGAGTTATAGGCCCATGCTTGGAAAGACTTGAACTCTCAACCCCCAAATCCGTAGTTTGGTGCTCTATCCAATTGAGCTACAAGCACATTCATTCGTCCCTTTCGTCTAGGGGTATAGTACATCGCTTTTTCATGGCGAAGACACGGGTTCAAATCTGTAAGGGATATATATGATATGATATCTATCATATCAAAGGGCCAGGTCAGGCGGGTAGTTGCTTGGGCAGTAATACCTTTTGATTATGGTATGGTACTGTCAGATTTAAATGTAGGTATACTTAAGTTTTGATCAATCGAGCAAGTTGATAAAGCACGCAATAGATTATTTTGTTATGCAATATTTTTTCTATGCAAAAAATCGATTGAAATTTGATCCGGCTTCAGCTTTACGCGCATTTTATTTATCTCAGTTTTTTTTTCATCAAATCGCAATTGCGGATAACGGGAATCGAACCATATCCCCTGCTTGGAAGGCAGACAATTTACCTTTAAACTATAAGCCCAGGAACTTGCTTCAGAAACAACAAAACTAACTCAAGGGTGGTACCCGTAAGGCCAGGATTTCCCGGCCATTTCTTACGGGTACGGCAACCGCTGACGGATCTCCCTCTTTCTTGCTAGACGAAGGACGGATACAGCAGTCCAAGGAGGAAAATAGACTTCGATATGAACCACCGGCAGAACGATCTCCTCATAGTTTATCACCACCAGGGCGCGCTGTTGCGGACCAAATCCTGCAGCAGCTGAACGCCCTTGCTTTGGACCGATCCTCCCTGTCGTCGTCTGCCCATAGAGAAGGAATATATACTGAGGAAGCTCAAGAAAGATGCTCCATGCCGCTTTGTGATGACCCACCGGAGATTCAACTAGCATGTGGTTCGCATGCCTTGTGCCGTGAGGATTATGAAGGGACCCTGACATGTCATGTCCAATTTGTAGACGGGGGCTGGAACGGCAATGCCTCTACCTGTGACATCTGTCTGCGCCGTGCCATTCGATGCAGCAACTGTGATTGTGAAAATTGGATGCGGTG